ACATGGGATATTCCTCTCATGACACTGAGAGCGGATGATCCTCTATTGATATTCTGTAGCCCTCGTAAGGTTGGCTACCACTCTCGATGACCGGCTGTGCTAAATCTGGAACTTCTAGGCCTATAAGTCCGCTATCAAAGAGTGGAGTACTCATAAATGACATCCTTGGTGTCTCAAGTCTAAGGACCAAATATACCATGAGACTACGGAATCGTTGTTTGACAATAAGACATCATCAACCATCCAGCATTCCATGAGCGGATCAATCAGTGAACTCATTCTCCAATGAGCACATGCACTATATCCCTAGTGTCCCCACACAAGCAGCTATGAGACTAGTTGCCTCCATCATATAAACGGGTATATAGTACACCAATTTGTCCGATTGTCTCAATGTCCCTCTCAAGTAACTTATGATTGAGATTATTTATGGTCTATATTTAAAGACGAATCGATATTATTATCGTGATCTCATCCTGATCTGATTCGCATTGTATATATATATATATATATATATATATATATATATATATATGATCAAAATCGAAAAGAATAAAAATAGAAATATAATAAAGATATTGATTGCCCACTCTCTCTAGTATTAAAAAGTGTGAGATTAAAAGAGAAACTCTATGTGCCAATCAACATTTCTCACAACAATGATATTAAAAACTAAAAACAATGCTTTCCCATTAATGTTTATCTTCCATTAAACTCTATTGAGGGATGTCTTAATATTTCTATTATTTCGAAAACTGCCACTTATAACAATTAAACAATCATCTTGAAGGAGACACCACCTTTGCACCTCACTGGAACTTAACGAGCCCACCTAGGCAACCCCTAGGCAATTAGGCAATGTTTAGGTCATCAATGTAATTTACTTAATAATTTTAAGTGTAGAGCAGTTCTCCTGTAACCCATATGACTCAAACGTTATGCTCCTTGCCTCTCACCATAAGACAACCAATCAATAAATTTTATTTTCAAAAAATTAAGACAATGAGAAATATAGAGAAGAGTAACTGTTGGGGCAAGAATATCGTCATCAGAATCATAAAATTTCTCCTTTTCTTTATTCCTTTCTTCTTCCATATTCTCCCTACACACGTTACAGTTCAGAGGTGCATTAGCAATAGCCTTATTCAACATAGCACATATTTGTTAAAGAATCTTTAATGCATACAACTATTAACAAAATGTTAGAATCTTATATTTGATGGAAAGTTAGGTTAAGTATGTCAGGCTTCCGAGAACACAGTGCATTACCAAGTAAGTGGCTTGAAATGCAAAATTATTACTCGAGAAAATAGTGATTGATCAAGTAAGCATAGTCCATGCAAGTAACTATTTGTTTTCAAAAGCCTTAGAACAATGACTGATTCACAAAATGCAAGAAATAAAATTATTATGTAAAAATGTAATGTCAGGATTGAAATCAAGAATCGTATATCCAAGACAGAAGGTGTACACCTTTTGAACACGATAATTAATAGGGTAATTAAATGTCATGAAGCAACGCATCGTGATCTGCATGCATCATGAATCTATAAGAAAGAAGCTAGACTTGTCTTCTCTTCACTTCCTTTTTTTAGGACCACTGTAATTAATAGAATGAAGATCTATCAGGAGATGAGATAAGATATCTCTACGATCGTGATATAATCCCTAAAAAGTCCTGCCTATATATAGGCATGAGTAGAAAGTTTAGGAAAGGCAATTACTTTTTTTAGTAATTACCTCTCATCAAAGTCATCTTCTAGGAAATCCTACTATAATTGGACTTCTATTCTATTGGTTGATAACCATGATGAGAATCCAATCAAATCCATAATATATCTTACCTAATTAAATAAGCTCATATAATCTAACATTTTTCTATTTGGCCTATTAATTGGTAAGATATAAAATGGTTCAAAATCAAAATAAATAAAATAAAATTTATTTAAAAATAATTTTACCAAACTAGATTTTAAAATTTTAAAAAACATTTATATGCACACGAATTTAAAAACAAACTAATAAGTTCAATAATTAGAACAATACTACATTGAGGCTGATTAGTAATACGAGTCATAACGATCATATGTCATCAATTTTATACTTTATTCTATGTCTACAACAACATAGTTGGTCTTTCCTAATACAATCCAAAATGACCTCTAATTTATCTTGTTAAGATAATCATATTATTCACATTTAACCATAATATGTACATATATAAATGTGAAAAGGATTGGAGAAATAAATAACTTTAATTATATAAACAAGAATGTCAATTATAATGTTCACTCCAACATACATCATCATAACTTTTATGAGTAGCTCACGAACTCAATCATAAGAACATATATTCTTTCAAATACTTTAGGTTGCAAGGTGTAAGTGAATGGATCAGTAATCAATACAGTGGAACTCAGGTTCTTAATTAACACTAGTTGTTTTTAGACTCTTTCTCTAACCACCAAGTATTTTATGCCAATATGCTTAGAACTACTATAGTATTTATCATTCTTAGAGAAGAAACCTACTACGGTATGTCACAAAATATCTTCAACAACTTAACAATTGAGTCTAACACTACCAAATCTTGAGATGAAATTTCATAGTCATAAAGCTTGTTTAGTAACCTCAAAGTATACCACAAAATAAGCTTCTACTATTGATAATATAATTTATATTATATTATTCTTGTAAATTGCTCCTCCCGCTAATGTAAACATAAATCATAAAGTGGACTTCCTATAATCGAGATAATTTACAAAATCAATATATTAAAATATCATTATTTCAAGCTGATCTGATTTCTTGTATATGAGCATATAATTTTTCATCCCTTACATATATGTTGTTACTTTCTTTTTAATTTTTCAATATTTTATTATTGGGTAACTCTAATATCTATCCAGTATTCTAATTACAAAACTAATATCTGGTCTAATATAGGCTTAGCATATAATAAACTTTCAACTGTATATGCATAGGAAATATTTTCTTATATTTATTTTTTTATTTGATTATTTTCTAAATCAATTTTAAAAAATATTGACTTTGATTGAATCTTACACCTTTATCATTTACTGAACAAAGATACCTACTAAATCTTTTCAAGACTCAATTAATAAGTTATTTATGAGATAGTCTTAACAATTATTGAGATTTATACTTAAATATCTCTATGTCAAAAAGATAAATTGTCTCATTCATATCAATCATTTTAAAATTTTTGATGAGAAATTTTTTAGTTTCGTGCAGTAAACCAAGATCATTATTGACAAGCAATATATTATCCACGTACAAGATCAATATAACAAGCTTGCTCCCACTAATATTTAGATATAAATATTGATCAATAGCATTTTTCTTAAATCCGAAGGAAGTAATAATATCATGAAACTTTATATAACATTGCCTAGAAGCTTGTTTATAGTCATAAATAGATTTTTTTAATTTATATATCAAATTTAATATTTCTTTCTTTTTTCTACGAATCGTTTAGGTTAATCTATGTAAATTTTCTTATCTAAACTTTCATTCAGAAAAATTATTTTCACATCTATCTTATGTAACTCAAAATAATAAGGAGCCATTAATGTCATAATGAATCTTACCGAGTCAATTAGATAAACTAGAAAAATATCTCGCATTGCTTAATGCTTTATTTATGAGTAAAATCTTTGACTATAAGTTTAATTTTATATCGTTTGATATTGCTCTTCAAGTTATGTTTAGTCTTAAAGACTCATATATAATTGACTCTTTTATAATTATTAGGTAATTCGATAAGTTCTCATACATTATTTTGGTCTATTGATTCCAACTCCTTTTTTATTGTATCATACCACTTTTCATAACTTGTAAAGACAATAAGAGATCCTCGTGATTCTTATCATAATATGATATTTGTAGATATATCACATAATTATAAAAAAAATGACATATCTCCTTTCCCTTTAAGATTTTCACAAAACTATTTTTTTATTATTCTACAAGTCATCGGTAGTGATATCAACATTATGTGGGAGTACATTAATGTTATTTTATTGTTCGTCTTCATCAAGTCATTTAATGATTAGAGGAACAACAATTTCCCGAATAAAAAATGATGAAGTATCAACTTGTATCTCCTATATATCAAAATTAAATTTCGAGATCTTCACTCCCACTGATTCGTTATTTTCTAGGAATCTTATATTATCATATTTAACTATCCTTAAAAGATGATTAGGTAATAAAATATGTACTCTTTTGAATTTTTTTAGATAAATAATAAAATACCCAAAAATAATCCTTGAATCCAATTTTTTTTTCATGTGAATTAAAAAATATTATGTCTGCAAGACAATCTTAAATATGTAAATGTTTCAAAATAAGATGATGAAACTGACTTACTAGAAACCTTATTCAAGATATACATAATCATTCTTAGAGCTTCATCTCATATTGACATGACTTGATATCAATTGTAAGAAATAAAATTATTATGCAAAAATTTAATACTAGGATTGAAATTAAGTATCGTAAATCCAAAACAGAAGATGCATATCTTTTGAACACAATAATCAATAAGGTACCTCATATGTCATGAAGGAATACATCATGATCTGCATGCGTCGTGAATCTGCACAGGAAAGAAGCTAGACTCGACTTCCCCTATCTTTCTATTTTCAAGACCACTCTAATTAATTAAATAGTAACCTATCAAGAGGTGAGAGAAGAGATATCTACAATCATGATGTGATCCCTAGAAGATTCTGTTTATACATAGGCAAAAACAATAGATCTAGAAAAATCTAGAAAAAATAATTAGGAGAGTCGTTCCTATCGAGGTTATCTCTTAAGAATTTATATCATAATTAGATTTTTATTCTATTAGTTGATAAATATGATCAAAATCTAATTAGATATATAATATATCTTATCTAATTAAATAAAATCATATAATCTAACACATTGATCTTACAATGATTATCTTATAGCAATTACTTTATATTACTCACCCATATATGAGATGTCATTTGGCTCCCAGTCCTCCCTAAAGGCATCAGTTGGCAGCTCTATCTCAACCAGAGCAAGTGTTTGTTCAACTCGTTGGGTGTATGCTCTCCCCTTTGAATTCACAACCAACCACTGCCGATCCCATCGAAGTCCTAAAAGCAATTGAAATAAACGTCATGTTAATCACACTCAGGAGCACTTGGCACAAAGAGCCCTATGCCAACCTAAGAAACATGTAGTCACAAAATAAATATATAAATGGTAAATACATACGTAAATAATTCGACTTCTCCACAGCAGAAGCAGAAGAAAGAAAAAGCAAACGCCTTTGCTCCACATAAAATCCCAAAATACCAAATCAAAACTCAACACATCCCACAAGTAAATCAACAAAGCCGACAGAATTAGCTGTCGGAATCGGAAAGAAATGAAAGTATCAGCGAGGACAACGCTGCCGCCTAAGAAACTCTCGAACCGACAACTCTCATCAATCCTCCGAAGAGGAAGGGAAATCTGCTTGGAGTACCCGTGGACGTGATGCAGGCTCGAGGGACAGAGATTCCACGGCAAGACTTGATAGGGTAGACGAAGATTGTGGCGACCGTGGCGGACGCCACCGGCTCCCGCGATCCGAAGACGGAAGCAAGAATCGAGGATGCTTTCTCCATTTCCTACGCTACCGTAAGTGCCGAGTCACTTGCTCCCGCCGCTCGGCAACCACCGCCTTCTCCTTGCCCGATGTTTTATATAGTAGGATGCAGTCGACAGGTGCCAAAATCACGATTGTTTCACATATATATCCTTGCGAAGTATCGAAAACAACGAATTTATCCTTTTATATATATATATATATATCGATCATCTATTCTCTCACCTCTCGATAGGTTTCAAACTTAAACAAATATTATTACCTCCTTCTTATACCACCTTCATTCTGGATCTAGGAGGGATGATCGATACAGATTATTCATGTATAAAAATATAAACGATTAGGAGAGATAAGGAAATGATTGATAAGATCAACCTGTGTAGAGATATATGCGATCAGAGAATGATTGACGAGATAAAAAAAGATAATTGATGAAAGGATATTTTAGATATTATTTCAATTAGAAGTAATATTTAAAAAAAAAGTGACATCGATTGGGAATCATCCTTCTTACTTATTATTTAATTCATCGAGACCATACATATATTATTTTTATTTCTCTTATGAATATCATAAATAGAGTAAAGCTAAATGGTTCTGTTTTTACGTCGACAACAGATGTCAGCAGCAGAATCCCTAATCCGAAGAGGCGTGGGGAAGATAAGGACGCCAACTATGAGGGTCAACGAGTCAACGATGAGGGTCAGTGACTTTTGCGAGCACGTCATGCGCGGCCCTGTCTCGCTTAGCGTGGTCCGCGAGGACGACAACCAGCACGAGGTGACGTGAGAAACCACGGACATGGCGTCATAACGTTGTGAGGATTTCAACTGTCACGCTCACATGCTTTAATCAAAAGGAAATTCCCGGAAAATAGTTACCGGTTTTGATTCTTTTTATTTTTTTTTTCGAAGATAATCTTATTTTACCCCTTTTTTTCCTACAGAATGCTTTTTATTTACAGTTTTACCCCTAATGAAAGGATCTGAAAGTCTTTTTTTGGGGCACGCTTTTGAATTTTTGTTTAGACAAGTTTTTGGATGGATAGATTATAAAGCATAAAACAACCAGTTCGAATCAATTCTAACGCCTCCAAATTTTTTTTATTAGATAGCTTTGAAATTATAAAAATATAAACTTAAGAAATAAAACTTAAAATTTATAAAAATTAAAATAATTTAAAATACATATCGATATACAATTTTCTTAGCATAGCATTTTAGCAAAATAATTGTATAATTTTAATAGAAATAAAAATATTCTAATATTTGTATAACTTAAATATTATATTAAAAATAAGAGTTGGATCATACGTTTCTTAATGATTTCTAGAAAAATATTTTTATAATTAATTTAGTTTGGTTTAGTTCATCGGACTAATGCTTGGTGCATGAAGCCGGACCAAGAAAGAACTAGTCGTAAACAGATGAAGGGCTAATTACAAATTATCTCCTTGTATTTGGACCTATTAATAGTATTATAGTTTTTCTATTTAGAAAATTTGTATTAGGATCTCTATAATTCTGAAAATAAAATAAATAATTTTATTTATCCTAACGTCATCAATTGCCTCGATGAAAAACATAATACATGATACAACATGCTAGATCGATGTAAAAGTGATGGACAAAAAGATAATTTTAATATCTTTTTTTTTCAATGACTTTATCAACAAAAATATAATTTCAACATGTTGAAAACAAAAGGAATATTAAAATTATATTTTTTGCTTATTATTTTCATACCAATCTAGTATATGATATCACGTTAGGAAAAGTGAAGTTATTTATTTTTTTAGAATTATAAAAATTTTAAATAAAAATTTTAAAATATACTAATATGATTTAAATATAAAAGATAATATGTAATTAGTAAGATGAGATAAAGAGGAGAGGAACAATATAAGTAAAATTACTTTTGACATTTTAAGAAAGAAAAATGAAAAGTGTGAGAGGTCACTTTTCCCGCTGATTCGATATGTTGACTTCCACGATTCCCTCTCAAACGCAAATTTGACTTAATATGTTGGGAACATGTTGACGTTGAAGGTTTCACAATCTTCGATTCGATCTTTAAAGCATGATAGATTCCATTTTTTAGTACGATTCATATAATATTTAAATCCTCCAGCCATAGTCACAGGTTGAACCAGTGTTGCACTCTGATGTAATCCACAGGCACACCGATTCCACATAGACAACTTATAATAGTTCTCTCAGGTCAAACACCAGCGTCTCTTTCCTTTTACCTCCTCATCCCCTCTCTCTCTCTCTCTCTCTCTCTCTCTCTCTCTCTCTCTTTTCTCGCTCGTAGCACCTTTTTCCTTACGGCTGTCTTTACCTTCTATCCATTTCTTTTTCCTTCGACAACTCTTCTATGATCGCCCACTCCTCTCCCTTCTATAGGTCTTTCATCGATTCATTTCTATTAGGTCTTCTTCCTATGGTTATTATACTCATCTTTGCTATCCTTTCTTGTCGTATTATAATTTTTATTTCTAGACATAAATTTTGACATGGCACACATTATTGTAGAGGAACACTCGAGTGAACATTTTGTACAGCCATATCAGATAGAGGTTAAGGACGTTAAGACAATAAGAAGACTCTTCTTCTTGCTCGTAAAATCTTCATGAGTGCATCAAACCACTATATCATAAACGGGACATTATTAGTGATGGACATGCATTATTGGTGATGGACCAACACATGCCATCCTTTTTGGCAACCAAAATTTTCCACAATAGGAGAATTAATTGTCTACAATGTTCAGTTGTAGACAAATGCAAATGCTGAATAGTTTGATAGCCATGCTTGTCCGCTTGTCCTTGCCAGTTGGATGCGGTCTATGATCACTCTTCCATCTTCTATGTGGTGTTTTGGGGTTTTGATTGATGATGCTATCTATTACTTGGTGTAGTTAACATAAATGTTAGTATAATCAACGTTTTCCGGTTCTTTATTGTTGTTTCATTATCCATGATATCAATATTACATTAATATATCTTATTATTGTCATCTAAACATAAATTGAATAGGTATCTTTTGAGCGACTTTTAATTTTATTTATTATTAAATATTATTTTTAATTTCTAAATAGACCTAATCACGATTCCAAAATCATCGATTCTGATTTCACAATACTTGGAATTGGAACCAAACCTTCAAGGGTTAGTTCTCGTTCGATTGATTTTAGTTTTGGTTTGAATCATTAATTTTAAGTATTTTTTAAAGTAAATAATATAAAAAATTATATTTTTATTTTTAATTTTTTTAAAAATAATGAACTCCCATAATGACTTAATGAGTATAAACATATAATGACATAACTTAAAAAATTGACATAATATTAAGTAAAATAATTGTCGGACGTTATGATAATTCTTTCAATAGACGTATCAATGAATAAGATATTGTTGTCTTTATCGATGTATACTTAAACTTCAACTAATTCAAGGGGCATGATTGATTTGGTTTCATCTATGATTTATCTTTGCACGCAGAAGACTTGACACTAGAGTTGTTAGTATCTGTATCGCGATCTTCATTAACATTGAAAATATTGTTGTGCACTGTATCTACTATTCTAAAATAGAAAACTCTATACTTATAATGTTGTCCCCAAACTGAAAATAAGTTCCAGCTTAATAATCTCCTTGATATTTTTTATGTTCGTATTAATAGTTTTTCTCCCTTAAAAATTTTACTATTCCCACTAACTTGATCAAAGTTTTGAAGGTACCATGTTCTCCAACAAAGTTAGCACTATAATGATCATACAAGTTATTGACCAATTTTTTAATATATCTAATTTTATCATCAAGATCAACATATCCTACTAAACTTTCATAATAAATGGGTAAATAATCATCTAATCTAATGCGAGGATAAAAAATACATGCAACTAAATAAACGGATGAAATTTCAAGAAAATAATTTATTCAATTTTATTTTATAGCCATTATTATCATATTTAAATCATTATCATTTTGATATTCTTCTAATGCACCAACAATATTAATGCAAATAACAAAAAAATTATGTGTAGGATAATAAACATCAAATAAGGTATATGTTGTATTATTAAAAACTTTTAAAAGTCTTTCATACACGTTTTAATGCTGTGAATATAAACAAAATTTGCCTAACATTACTTTTAATAAAAGTGTATAATAATTATTTATATTCAAAAGATTCTTTAAGCAATTTATATGTAGAATTCTATCAGGTAGAAATATCCCTAGAAAATATTTTGGGCCTTTTACCATTTAGCTTATAAAATCTTATCCATTCTTTTATTACTTGTGGATGACCCCATGAAATAGTTTGCTTAATAGGTGAACAAAAAATTTAAGAGATCTAAGTCGTACATATAAATTCAAAACATGATAACAGATTGATAAATTGATATAATTTTGGAATAGAAGTAGTATTTATCGATACATTATCAAAATCAATATAAAAAAATAAAAAAAAATATTTTTTTTATAATTTTTTTATCATTCTATAAATATTATTGGTTGTATGTAGTTCATTGAAAATTCTAAAAACAATAATACATTTTTGTATTTTCCATCCACTGTATGGCAGGTGGATTGTAGGAATACATTTGCTAGTGATCATTTCAAATATCAGCACAAATAGAAACATGATCGTCCAAAGCTTTAAAATTTTTTATATTATTTTATTTTTTATAAAGATTATGTAAAGAATGAGTAAGAGTAGTAGGAGAACTCGTTGTGCGATAAGATTTAAAATCTCTTGATAATAATCAATAAATCTAACTTTTTATCAAAACTAAAAGATAAATATTCAATAATAATTAATTTGACTAATGACTTATGATTTTTTTAAAAAGAAAATTAAAAAGTGAGAGAAGCAGGGTACTTGAAAATTTACAATTGATTCCTATCCATATGGACGTATTAGAAAGTTTCTTCTAATATTTCATATTCTCTTTTATATTTAAAAAATTAGCCATAGTAATTATATAAAATATAGAAAGAGCAATCGACATTACGAACTTTCTTGAAGTATAATTTGAAGATATCTAACTTTAGTTTGGCTGTCATATCAATATCCTTTGATCGTTGATGCTGATATATTATTTTCTTAAATTATCATAATCAGAT